CTTCTACTCAACAACTCTGGGTACCTCATACCTCTGAATCAATAAGCAAAACAGGGAGCTGCTGTACTAGCTGGGGTAATTGATCTTGACTATCAAGGGGAAAATCTGCTGCTACGTAGGATAAACACCGGAATGGTAAACACAGAGTAAGCAGTTCAAACCCACCAGCCACTTATTGGAAACTCTATACAGGGTTGCTATCAGTTGGAACCAACTAGACATCACACAACAACATGACACAATGTTGCTAAGGAAGAGTATGTATGGAATACAGGAAATACTTTAAGGAGCCTCTTAATACTACCATGCCCTTTGTCAAGGGAAAACAGCAACCCAACTCATATAGGACTCTGAATGACCCAGACCTTACCAGACAAAGAACCATGAGCAGCTGGCATGCTTTCTAAGAGGCAAAGAGAATATTGAATGGAAAGTGGACGAAGGAATTCTTCCTCAATACTGTAACAGCATTTCCGACAAGGGTAGGGAAATCATATTCTAAGTAATTTTAGCCCTGGCAAAAATTTTGCTTTCTGTCCCTGGGATATTAAGCTCTCATGGTCCAGATGTCTCTGTTCCAGAGAAGCCATAAAATAATTCTATCACGTAGGAAGCTACAACTTCCACTTGGTCACTTTGGGTATATTATATGTCTGAATCAACAAGTGAAGAAGGGAGTTACTGTTTAAATTACAGGTGAAGAAACTCGGAGAGTATGGCATTATATCAAAGTAAGTGAAATCCAGAAACTAAGCTGGAATCCAGGTAGTGTGGCCTTTATAGTCTATGCTCCTAACTACCATGGAACATCCATCTCCTTTTGCAAGCTTTGTTTCTAATTTTGTAACGATGGAAACAACCTTGCCTGAAGGACTTTGATTTTTATTTATTAACATTTAATTTTGTATTGTGTTTTGGATAAAAACTTACCCTACAAATTAGGTTCTCATTGAACAATTTCTACACATAGCATTCATTGACATTGGTTTTGTTTTTCATAATGTGTCAACATTCTGATTATTCCCATTCTGGTTCTGGGTTTAGTAATCTAGTTTCCTGGTCCTCCCTTATCTTCACATTTTTGTTCTAGGGTAAATGTTTACCATTTAGTTTCATTTAGATGATTATTTACAGGAGCACAGTTCTTATGGGTGGTATTACTTTATGAGCCAATTTCTTATTTGTCTGAAAGAAAACCTCTGGGAGTGGTTTGAATTCCAAATTTAAATAGTATCCTAGGGTAACAGTCTCAGAGGTTCCTCTAATCTCTGCTGGTTTAGTAAGTCCGGTCATTTTTTGGTAATTTGAGCTTTGTTTTACATTTTTCTGCTATTCTTTTGGGGACCATCTACTGTGTCCTGGTGAGAACTGTCAGTAGTAATAGCTGGGCACCAAGATAGGTGAGACCATGGTCTGTATAGACTATTAGTCCTATAGACTAGTTCCTTGTTTGAATCTTTGATTTTCTTCTTTCTCTTTTGCTCTAGACATGGAGAGACTAATAAGTGTATTTTAGGTGGCTTGCTGTTAAACTTTCAAGACCCCAGATGCCATTCGCCGAACTAGGACATAGAACATTATCTTCATGAACTATATTGTGCGAGATGACCAACTTGCCCCACAAGACTATGGTTCTAAACCCTCCCAAACTAGTAAACTAGTCTCCTAGACATGTTAGTTTATATCAAGGAAGTATCCATAAATGTGCCTGACTATGTATTTTATTTTATATATAAATATATATGTAGTACACATAAACACTTATATGCCTACAGATGCACTAATACATATACATTTTAGAATCATAAATGACTTCATTTGTATTTACATGTAGTGTTGTTGTTTTTGTTAAGTGTTGTTGAGTCAATTCTGACTCATAGGAATCCTGTATCTTTTTTCTGTGAAACAACTGGTGGGCTCAGACAGCTGACCTTGTGATCAACAGTCCAGTGCTTATCTAACAGAGTCATTGTGCTTACAGGCTTCTGGTGTGGTGCTGTGGGATAAGGCCCTGAACTGTTAAACACAGTTTGAACCACAAGGTCAGCAGTTCAAACTCACCAGCCACTCCCTGAAAATCCTATATTGGATCATTATGAGTTGGAACCAACTTGATGGTGTTTAACAACAACAAATATATATATATATATACAGATATCTATGTAGCCATACACATATTTTAGTTCTTATTACTCTTGCTGCAAAATTACATATATTGTAGCATTTGAAACATTGTCCATTATTCTTGTGTATTTCTTAGTGTCATTTACTTTGTCATCATTTAAATTTTCTGATTTCACCTTTTTGGTATTGTTTTTTCCATCACTAAATGTAATGAGTATCTATTGTCTAGAAACAGTGATTCTCCCTCCTTCTCCCTCCCATCCCTGACAACCCCCAAAGAATGTTGGGTTTTTTATATTCATACCCAGCCTTGTATTTTTATTATAGTGAGATCATACAATATTTGTTCATTTGTCTTTGGCTTATTTCACTTAGCATAATGTCCATCAGGTTCATCCCACATTATATTTTGAGACTGCATCATTATTCCTTATGGTTGCATAATATTCCACTATATGGATATACCACAATTTGTTTATCCATTCATGTGTTGATAGACACTCAGGCTGTTTCTACCATTTTTGCTATTGTGAAAATGCTGCCGAGAACATCAGTGTGCCTACAGGACCATGATTTTGAGTTACAGTGCAGTGCAACTATGGGTATTGTCTTATTGTAGATTTCTTTTCTTTTTTGCTTGAAAAAGATTAGATTTGAAAGTGTCTTTTCAAGGGAAAGGAAGGAAAATTTCATAAAATCTTTCAGAGCTGTAGAAACCACTTAGGAGAGAATCAGATATCACACAGGAAGAGCAGACACATATAACATGCAATGCTTACTTTGAAAAAAGTGTAGACCAACCCGGAGCAAATCCAGGATCTCGGCTAAACCATAGCAAGGCCATTACAATGAAGAGGATCAGAGTCACAATTTCTTGATACCTGTGGGAAAATTCCAGCCCTGTCACATCATATTTTCTCAGCCAGAACACTTGTATAACTTTGCTAAGCTATTATCAGGAATGATCTTAGCAGAACCCTGAACATGTTAAAACAAGAAGCTCCAATACAATAAGATCATCAGGGTTTCTACCAAAGGCTACTCTGTGGGTCCTTCTGCTTCTGTTCATTCTACCTGGCAATTTTTAGCTAGAAGACAGCATGTATTTTGTCATGCGAAGTTATAGTAAACAAAATTAGTATACTTGGGGCTCCTATCAAGTGTTATAAACACATTACTGACAATAATGTGTTTATTTGCATTTAAGTAATTACTTGAAGTATAAACAGCTCATTGTGTGTGTGCATGGATGTGTGTGTTTGTGTATCTTACCTGATTGGGCCAAGTTTTTTATATTCTTGTTTAATCACTTCAGCACAAGCTTTTTCTTTGACTGTTTTGGTTTTGCCACATTTGAACATCTCCTTCAAACTAAGAAAGAAAAAATAAGCCTGTTAAGCATAAGGTCTTATCAATACTATTTCCTTCTACAAAAGATATTCCAGTGCAAGCTTCATAAAATATGAATCTCCCAGCGAACAACAGAAATATGTGCTTTTTCTCTATACCTCTGGGGAGCACAATGGCCCCATAAGATAAGCACTGGACTCAAGGTCTTTTCAGGTTTTGCCTGGTTTGCTCCATTTTCAATGCTCAGAGCCTCCCTCCGACCCCCTCCATATTTTGTACTACTCGGTGTGGCCCTGTAGGATCAGCACAAAACTGCGAAACGCAGAATCGACAGTTCAAGCCCATCAGCTGCTCCTTGGAAACCCTATAACAGGGTCGCTGTGAATCAGAACTGAGTCAACAGCACTTAACAACACTCACCTCTAAGTTAACACTTTATTGTACACTCTTGTTTGTTAATTGTTGAATGTGTATAGGTTTTATCTCACTAATCAATAAATTATTTGAGGGCCAGGACAATGTAATAGATGTTTCCTCTGGCCCGGTATCTCTAGACCACTGGCATATATGGTAATCACTGGTTGACTGATGGATTCCCTAGTACCTTTGGCAAACTGATGACACTATTAACTGTCAGATGGGTCACTTCTCACCAAATGTGCTGAACTCTGAGGCAGGGAAGTCACATCTATTGATCAGGATCAAGTCCAAGCTAGGTCACCTCTCACAACACAAACTGACCTCATTACATTTATTTTTCCTCAAACTTCTTGACCCATTATGTCCTTCTTGCATCTACTAGATAATTTTCCAGCTTATGTGCCACAATAATGACCAGTCTCTGTTGCTTGTTTTACTAATTTTTCTGTCATCAAGTCCAAGATCTTCAGAATTTTGAAGTTTCTGTGAAGCACTGCTCTAGATTGATAAATAATCCTTCTAGAAGAAGAACTAAAAGGGAAAATCCCTCTGGATGAACTCGTGGAATTCTTAAGTACAGCTTAGTCTCATTGCTGTTGTTAAGTGTTGTCAAGCCAACTCTAACTCATAGTGACTCTGTGTAAGGTTTCTCATGAGCAGCTAGGGGGTTTGAACTGCCACCCTTGGAGTTAGCAGTCCAATGCTTACTCTACAGCACCACACCAAGATTCCATTTGTTGTTGTTGTTGTTGTTAAGTGCTGTTGAGTCGGCTCTGACCTATAGTGACCCTGTATAGGGTTTCTGAGGAGCAGTGTATATTATACGCTGTGTGTGTGTTGTTGTTGTTAAGTGCCATTGAGTCAGTTTTGACCCATGGCAACCCTGTACAGGGTTTGCAAGAAGTGATTGGTGAGGTTGAACCACCAACCTTGTAGTTCAAATGGCTATGTAGTCTGGTACACTAACCCACAGTGCCACACCAGGACTCCTATATTATATATAGGTTTCAAATTGCCGAGATAAGTATACATGCATACATTTGAGGGAGTAAGTAGGAACATTGGAGTGGTTGTGCACATACATCAATTACTGAAAATAATTAGATGGTTAATGTTGCGCTGAAAATCAATAAGGTAATACTTAATTTTATAATCTCGATTAGCTAACTAATGCCAATCTTGAAATTTTACCATTGTCACAACACAAATACTGCTAGCATAAAATACTGCATGGGCCACATTGAGAACCTTTTGTAGACCAAAGAAGTACAGGTAAAGAAAGCAGTAAGACTCTCTTTAGAAAAGGTTTTCTCTCTGGTCAACTGCAGATATACCTTGTCACATTGGTTGCAGACAATAAACTGTTAAAAGCAAACTGGCTTTGCTACAAATGAAGGTTAATGCCTCCACACAGGAGCTGCTGGGCCATATGACAATACGTCAACCTCTCCATTTAAATAAATTCAGTGGCACTGATAGATGAGCTTCTCTTCCCAAGTATGTTGGGGTCATTTATAATGGGGACGTAAACTCAGCCAGCACACTACTCGGAATGTATGAGGGCCTGCCAGGGGACGAGCTGATTATTTTTGCTTGTCGATCCAAAATCTCTGGAGGTGAAGACCCTGGCCGAATGAAAGGACACTGAAAAATTAGCTGGAGCATGGGAGTGTGTGGTGTCTATCTAATCGTGGACAATCGGGGGACTGTTAAAACTGCCACTGATCAGGATTTATGGGCTTGGCATAATATATGCACTTCACAGGATTTTTTTTTTTTTCTCATAGAGAACACAGTTTAATACACCTGTCCTTTATCTTCCTAATTTTTCCTTTTTAAGTAGCAGGTCATTGTAAAGTAATGGCAATGATTGCATACGTATTTTGGGAAGTCATCATATAGACCCACAAAGAAGAAAACAACTGAGTCTGGACTGGATGCTCTCTCTACTGTCTTGGGATTCCTGTCCCATGTATCCTGCATTGCTTTCTATTCAATCCAATAGGCCCCCAAAGGCTTGGGTTCCCAGGGAAGAGCACTTAGGATGCAGTTGGCTTACACCCAGTGATGCCCACCTGCTGAAGTCAGGGGCATTCCACACATTGGTTTCAGCAGGAGGACAGTCACATGCTGCTTCCACAGTCTGGAGAAACAGATTTTTTTAAAAAAAAAAGCTTCAACACCATCTCTCCACTACTAAGGAATCGAAACCCTTCTGGAGAAAATCCAGGAAGAGGCATTGAGTGAGGATGTCAGTCTTTATGTGACTGGACTTGAAAAATGTGCTCACATGTCCTGGAAACAACAAATCACAGCAGTGTTTTATTTTTCAAAGGAAATAACAAATCGCTGCCTTCAGCCTCACTGGGTTGGAAGCTAGTATGCTTTTTCATTCCTAGGTCTTTGAAATTATTAAAATATAATCTTATAAAAATGATGAATTTGAATTGTCATTCTTGTTTTGTTGTCAGATAAAAAGCATCCTCAAGGTTTAATATGTAGCTATTACCTTTTGGGGGTTTTTTGAGTGTTACTGTGTGAACTGAAAATGGAATGCTTCATTTTAGATTTTGCAGGTGAGTCATCTGCAGTTCTAAATGCTGACTCTCATCGAAGTTATGGAACTCATTGGTACTTGTGAACCACCAGCTTCAGTCCCAGACAAGGTAATATTTAGAATTCTCCTCAAATCATATATATTTGATATTTTAGGGCACAATTATTCTTTACCCATCAGAGTTACACATTGGTTAGTTACACATTCTGATGACACTGAGAGTGTGTCAGGTGTTGAACTGGATCACACACCTGGCCTACGAGGAGCCCTGGTCTCCGGATTCTTAACCCATTCCTGTTTTGATAGACTGCACCCTCAATTCTATATTTTGTTTTCTCAAGGTAACATCAGATTTGGTGCTGGCACGAAACTGCAAGTTGATGTAATTCAATTGTTTAAGAAAAGCTCCATGTTAAGTCAAATGGAGAAGAAAAAGTTCTTAAAATGCCACCTTAACAGATGGGGCTGGGTCTTATCCGAATGCATTTCTTATATCTTTGATGCCCAATTCCCAACACCTTATTGCTTTAGAATGCAGAGAAGACCCACATGGACCATAATGAGATTCCAACTTGTCTTTAGCACCTATCTTAGTGTGTGTCGGTTTTGTGGGTAAGAGAATGCCAGATGCGAAGGAGCCCTAGGTTAGGAGCTGAGAACCTGGAGTCTACGAACCCAAACCATCTGCCATCAAGTTGATTCCAACTCATGATGATCCATGTGTGTCACTGTAGAATTATGCTCCATGGAATTTTCAGTGGCTGAGTTTTTGGGAAGTAGATTGCTAGAACTTTCTACCAAGGTACCCCTGGATGGACACAAACCTCCAATCGTTAGTAACTAAGCATAGTAAATGTTTGCACCACTGACCACAAGAACTGCAAGGTCAGCAGTTCAAAACTCACCAGTGGCTCCTCAGAAACCCTTTACAGCATTGCTGTGAGTTGGAATCTGACTCGATGGCACCTAACAGCAACAACATACATATGTATAATAATAACCAGCTAATATATATATGTGTCTATTTGGAGTTCCAGTGTGGTGCTGTAGGATAAGCACTGGACTTCTAAGGCTAGTGACTCATGCCCACTAGTTGTTCCTCTGAAACACTTTACAGCATTGCTATGAGTTGGAATCTGACTCAATGGCCCCTAACAACAACAGCATATATATTATATATATACTTACTTGAATCCCAGGAAAAGCCACTGAAGCCAGATCCAGGACAAAAGGAGAATAATAAGGGCAGCTGGGAAGGAAAGCATAAACCATGATCCAAAGTTGATACATTGGCAATCAGGATACCGCCTGGGCAAAAAATACAAAGTGTTCACAGGAGTGACGGACGGAAGCCTTTGCTATGGCTATTGAGAGGGTGTAGGGCCAGATCCTTAGATGCTGCCAGCCAAGGAGGAATTCCTGGAACATGTTCACCACTAAGTGTTGTTGTTGGTGTTGGGTGCCATCGAGTCTGTACTGACCCATAGCAACCTTATGCATGGCAGAATGAAACACTGCCCAATCCTGGGTCAACCTCATTACTGTTGCCACACTTGAGTCCATCAATGCTGCCACTTGGCCAATCCATCTCGTTGGGGATCTTCCTCTTTTTCTTTGACCCTCCACCTTACCAAACATGATATCCTTCTCCAGCGACTGGTCCTAATTACTTTTTATTTTGGCTCTGTAACTACATTATTGTTGTATCCTATAAATGCAAAATTAAACACAACTCACCTGTAAAATCTAAAACAAACCATTTAATTTTCAGTTCATACAGTAATATTCCAAAAACAGAAAGGGGAACAGCTATATATTAAATCTTGAGATGTTTTTGTTTGTTTCTTTAGCTTTGTTTCCTGTGTCCACTCCACCAAAAATGTTTTCTGGGGAAAAAATTCTAGCACAATGCCTGAGATTCATTAAATGCACAAGAACTAGATGTGTGTCTGGGGTGTGTTTTGTTATTATTACTTAAACTATCAGTATTGTTGTTGTTGTTAGATGCCATTGAGTTGGTACTGACTCATAGTGACCCTATGCACAACAGAATGAAACACTACCCGATCCTGGGCCAACCTCACAATTGTTGCCATGCTTGAGCTCATTGATGCTGCAACTTGGCCAATCCATCTCACTGGGGGTCTTCCTCTTTTTCTATGACCCTCCACCTTACCAAACATGATATCCTTCTCCAGTGACTGGTCCCTCCTCACAGTATGTCCGAAGTATGAGAGACGAAGTTTGGCCATCCTAGCCTCCAAGGAGCACTCTGGTTGCTCTTCTTCCAACACAGATCTGTTGGTTCTTTTGGCAGCCCATGGCACTTTCAATATTCTCCTCCAACACCATAACTCAAAAGCATCAATTCTTCTATGGTCTTCCTTATTCACTGTCCAGCTTTCATATGCATATGAGGTTATTGAAAATACCATGGCTTGGGTCAGGCACACCTTAGTGCTCAAGCTGACATCTTTGTTCTTCATCACTTTAAAAAGCTCTTGTGCAGCAGATTTGCCTAATGCAATATGTTGCTTGATTTCTTGGTTGAATATAGGAATGAGTAAAGATGAATAGCAAATTTGGGAAGAGGTGAAAATAGACTTAACTAGACTGGATGCCTGGTCCCATGTCACACCGGAAGTTGGCATCCTACACATCTATGCAACTCTAATCCATATTGTCTCTCCTAACTGTTGTCCCCTCTGTTTCTTCTGTCCAAAGCAATTACAACCATCTTACCAGGAATGTGCTACCCTGTTCTTCTTAGAATTAGACAGTGGGTTGAAGCTCAGTTACCTGGGATATGGACAGATAGAAGTAATACAAAGTCCCATGGAAAAACATGAACTTTACCTCTCTTCCCCCTGGTTTTCAGCTTTTTATCTCACAGCTCACAAAACAATGTAAAAAGGCCAAATACATGTACAGTTTCATTGATAACCTGACATTCATAACTTAAAATATAGTCTAAATACAAAATAAATTCTCAAATAGTTACTCATTTTATGACTATGTCAAAACAAAAGGAAATTTGAGAGTTATCTTTAATATATATTTCTATCCTTAAAGCAGTAACACAAAGATACAGTTTGAAACGTAAAACAACAACAACAACAACAACAACAACAACAACAAAAAAATATATATATATATATAGAGAGAGAGAGAGAGGCTTGCATTTTGTCATGTAAAAGCAACCAAATTAATAAATGAAATATTTCATGCTAGATATGTGAGTATAAGCCAAATATATGTGTTTCAGATGGTTCCTTCTTGTATTTTAGGATACATTCCAAAGTGATTGGTATGTATTGAACTGTGTCTCCCAAAATGTGTGTTGAAATTCTTTGCCCTGTATTGGTGAATGTGACCTTTTTTGGGGAATAAGGTCTTTCTGTGAAGGTGGTATCAGTGAAGCCAAGCAGAAGTAGCATGGATCTTAATCCTAATCTCTTCTGGTTGGTGATTTGTAAACGGGGTGGGGGTGGGGGGAACACAGAGAGAAAGCAACATGCAGGGGAAAGGCATCAAGAGAAGATGAATCTACAACAGCACAAAATTGCTCAGTCGCTAGAAGCTAGGAGAAAGCTCTTCTCTCAGACTCCGCAGAAGGAATCAACATGGCCAAATGCCTTGATTTGGATTTCCAGCCTCCACAATTTTCAGAAAATGAATTTCTGTTCTTTAAAGTCAGCCATTTTGTGTTATTTTGTTATGTCATGCTTAGGAAACTGAGACTGTCATACAAAGACTTTTTAAAAGACAATAATCACAGGTTTTCAAAACTCTAGATTTATAATGCTGTCTGTAGTTTTATTTGAGATTATAAAAATGGACTGATCTTCCTGAACCCTCCAGTTATTACGAGAAACCTGAGAATAATTTTCATCTACCTTGCAGAGAGTCAAAGCTTAGCTTACATACTTATACAATTAGAAAGTGACAAATGATAAATAAGAAATACTAGGGAATATATAGAACCGGATAAACAGAAAAATGCTTTATCATGGTCAAGAGCTTCTACTGTGGGAATTTCTGCTCACTGTAAAAAAAAAAAAAAAAAAAAGTTTGTTGTCTTCAGTAAGAAAGTGAAATAACAGGGGGGAAATGCTTAAACATATTACCCATCAATTTAGTAGACTTGAAACCGAGGATGATCTATGTTATTTTGTTCACCCTAAAGACACTTAGAAATGCTACTTGTATTTGGTTCAGGATGATGCCCCCAAACCCAATTTAATTTTCCAGCGTTTGTAGTTCCTACCTTGAAATCAGGTTTGGTGTTCTCTCTACTCTCTGGAGAGAAGCCTGTAAGGTTTGTCTGATTCAACAGGGACTTTTCAAACTTTTTGCCTGAAGGGACACTTCGTTTAGAAAGATAGAAATCTGAAAGAACTAAAATGTATTCTTTTTTATCTTTTTCCTTCAGTAATAAGGAAATACATAAATACCACAAAGGATGGTGATACCAACTGGCACATAATACAGAAATGATAATATCTAGTCTGGATACATTTATACATACCTAGACTAAGTACTTTGAGTAAACAATGCCGTATTTATTCTAAGGGAGTAGTCCCACTGTGTTATTCCTTTTTCCACTTCCTCATATCCCAGAAGACTCCTTGGGTATCGCCAATTATGAATGCACTCAGCTTCTAACCAAAAGATTCGAAGCTCTAGTCCACGCACAAGTACCTTGAGTAAAATTCTGGTGACCTACTTCTCAAAACCCAGTCACTGAAAACTCTATGGACCCCAGTTGTTCTCTGACACACATGGGGTCACCGTGAGTCAAAATCACTCAACAGCAACTGGTACATAACACAGAACTGCAACTCTCTGTCTAGAGCAAATACAGTTTTCTTCCATGATGGACAGTGCTAAGCACACCTAACTCTAGTGCATCCTTTTCTTTCCCTAACAACATGTTTGGCTGTCTATCATGTGCCAAAAATTCTTCTAGCTGCTGAGGATACAGTGGATGAAATGGACATTGTCCACGTGCTCATGAAGTTAAACAGATAAGCATATAACAAAATAGAAAGTAAAGTTGGAAAAAAAACGTAATGGAAGTTTACTAGGGGGAGGGATCTATTTTACAGCAGAAAAACTGATGTTTTAGAGGCACTCTCAATGGAAAGAAGGAGGCAGCCACTTCACATCACTTAAGAACAGTATTCTAGGCAGAGTGAACAGCAGGTACAAAGACTCTAAGGTAGGAATGAGTCTTGCATAGTTGAGGATCAGACAGAAGGACTGTGTGGCTGCAGATAGTCAAGCAAGGTAACAGTGATGTGAAATAAAGTCTAAGAAGCAGTTAACAGGAATCAGATCATATATTATCTTATAGGCATTAGTAAGAAATTTGGATTGTATTTTCAAGTGGGAACTTAGTTTCAGAGGGTGCAGTGGAAGATAGAATTTCTACTGAGCAGTTTCCAACTTGTCTAGATAGGGCTGATGAAAGGAGATGGGGATAAGACTCTTGTGGTTCAATAGTGAATAATTGCTATCAGGACTGATTGTGAGGGCTGCAAATGTAAAGGTAGATGTTTTGTAACAAAATGAGGGGAGTGGCTGATCTTGCAGTCCAGGAATGGAGGACCCTGGGACCATCAGGGGAGAAGAGCAGATTGCAGGACCCTATCCAGAGAAGCAGCGACACCAGAGGTGGAGGCAGAGATGATGACATGGAAAGATGGAGTGGCTGGGAACTCTAGACTTAAGGAGGGAGAGGGGCTTTGTGTTGGTGGCCAGGGGAAGGCTTGCAGGGTATACCCTTTGGTTGTTTGTCTTAAAAATGCAATAAGAAGTAATTGGAACATAGTACATAAGATAATGACATGACCAAATTTGTTATTTACATAAAACATGATGACTTCTGGGTAAAGTCTCAGAAGTAAAGCATCAAGAATGAAAACCAGACTATAGCAGGCCAAATTCTAAGACATCTCACTGGATCCCTGCTCCCTAGTGTACGTGCCTTATGTAATCCCCTCCCATTCACTGTCATCTCCCCACGTCATCGTCTCTGCCTCCATCCCTGGCATCACTGCTTCTCTGGGTAGGGTTCCATTCTCTGCTCCTCTCCCTTGATGGACCCAGGGACCTCTGCTCCTATATTGCAAAGTTAATTACTTCCCTCCCTTTGCCACAAAACGTGTACCTTTACTTTTCCAGCCCTTACAATCAGTCCTGAAAACAATTATTCACCATTGTATCGCAAGAGACCTATCCGCATCTCCTTTCATCAGCCCCAACTAGACAGAATGGATACTACTCAGTGGAGATTCTACCTTGCTCCATACCCTCTGGATCTAGGTTCCCTCTTGAAAGCTGATAAGCCAGTCACTTCTTGCCTCTGTAGCCGCCCCCCCCATTCTTGGTAGCCAATGTCCAAGTTGCCCATCCCTGCCCTCTCCATGTGTGAAGGGGGTGGGAATGATCATCACAGTGAAGATTTGTTCCCTCTTTTGAGTTACTGCCTCCATAGGTGTATGTCAAGTTCATAAAATTGTATCAGATTATTCTTTTTTCCCTCTTCTTTCTTCTTCTGGTTGAGCTCTGATCATCCAGTCATTGCAGCAAGGTCAAGTAGGTATTATCTGCAAGTGTGGGTATACTTATGCATATGCCCTCTCTTCTTATCAGCTGGATGCTTCACTCTCCACTGTAGTCCTCTGTGGCTATGTCACTGACTCTGAGTCCAAGAGTCCCCTGGACTTGCCACACTGCTAGCCAACCAGGTCTCCATCTGAGTTCACAGGAGTCTATTGAGCGTTGTAGGGCTCAGCTTGCAGCTTCATTGCTGTTTTTCCCTCACTTCCCTTATCAATGTCGAACGTGGTCACCAATCAGAGCATGTTTTCCCATTGAGTCTTAGAAGGGGGTTTGCCCTGAGGGGGACCCAACCATTTGCCTTGATGTCTTCTGGGCGAGCCATTTGCAATAAACAATATTCTTTTCAATGGAGAAAAGATTGAAGTTGTCAAGGACTTCAATCTTCTTGGATCAGCTATCAACACTCACGGAAGCAGCAGTCAAGAAATCAAATGACATATTGCATTAGGCAAATCTGCGGCACAAGAGCTTTTTAAAGTGTTGAAGAGCAAAGATGTCAGAAAGAACGCTTCCCCCTTGAGCTGGCACTCTGAATTCAGACTTCTAGTCCCTTAAACTGTGAGAGAATAAACTTGTTTGTTAAAAAGCCATCAAACTGTGGTATTTCTATTATAACATCTCTAGATAACTAAGATGATTGGGGAAATCTGCTACAAAAGACCTCTGTAAAGTATTACACCAAAGACTAAAGTGCACCTGAACCCAGCTATAGTACTTTCAATTGCCTAATGAATGTAGAATTGTAATGGTTTTAATGTGCTCTGTATAGAAAGCCAGATGGAGACTATTTCCTGACAGACTTTATTTTTCACATTTTCCAAAAAAATTCAAAACAGTATCTTGCACATTGTCAGTCCTCAACAGGTATGTATTAATTGATTGAGTGACTAAACGGTCTGCTTATATTTGCACTGAATAAATGTTATTCTTAGTTTTCTTGAGTGAAAAAGGCTTTAAACGAATACAATCTCTGGTGGCACTGGAATATTAACCACAAGGCTGGCAGTTCAAGTTCAGAAGCCACTCTGTGGGAGAAAGATGAAGCTTTCTGCATCCTTAAAATTTTACAGGCTCAGAAACCCTATACAGGTTTGCTATGAGTCAGAATCTACTTAATGACAGTGTGGGGATTAAGTTATATAAAGATAGAGCTATCCCACTTTCTTTATAAAATCTCAATGTCTTCTTTTCCATCATTCATTTATAAGATGGCGGATTTCACTAAATATCAATGGTAAGAAGTTATTGACTCTAAGATTTCATGCACCCTTGGGAGCTGAGTTGTTGATGTTAAGTGCCACTGAGTACGTTCTGACTCATAGAAACCCTGAAGAGGGTGTCCAAAGACCAGTTGGTGGGTTTGAACCACCAACTTTGTGGCTGGCAGTCTAGTGTTGATCCTAGAATGCTATATAATCCTATAAATTTATCATTAATATCAATTTAAAAGATGAAGTGTCAAGAAGAAAAGGTGGTCTTCTTGGAGTTGATTTGAAAATAAAGGGCAATTGCTTTCCAACTCCAGTTATTTGAACAAAGAATTAGCAATCAATCTGATGTTTTAGGTTTCAAATTTGTTTCTAATTGAAATAGCATATATTAAGTTCCACTGTTGTTTTTAAATGTCATTGCATTTTGTAAAGTTAAAATATACAAAAACACTAACTAAATATCTAGGTTATGTTATTTTATAAGGTCAACATCTATGGAAACAATTGCTAAAGAACTATGTGATTTAACAATGTCAATGATATTATTTTATGTGAGGTTGCTTTTTATCTTATAGTCCACTTCTATTAAAAGGGGAGTCTTCTTTGGCCAAATTCCCATCTTTAGGGCAATTAAATGATTAGACAATTTGAGAAAGCAATTACTGAAATACTTTGCTACAATGCTTCCACCTGTTATTACAAGTGGATAAATGTCTGTGTAGGAAAACAAAGCCAAGGAGCAAAGTCAATATGGCTTACTTAAACTATATTGGGGGATTATACAGGGATGGTGGAAAACAGCAGATCTCTAAATCCAACAAGGATTAAACAACAAGAATTTGGTCTAAATGTCAGTAAAAGAGGTTTACAGGAGAAGACTGACATGTGAACTCTCTCTGGAGAATTCATGGGAAAGAATAAAAGATTTTCATAAATCACAATACACTTCCTGTCTGGAATTGGGGATTTTTGGAAGTTCCCAAATTATGGATCAAATGTTTTTCCAAAATTTCTGTCTAAGCACACATGATGGATGTATACTCATTGAAATAGTAAGCACACATGGCATCGTGTTGTTCCTAAAGTATTTTACCAGTATTCTACTGTATACACACGTTTCCAGTCTTTCTAGAATAAGGATCTACGTTCTTGTGAGTCCTGGAATTCTTGGAGAAATTTATGCATGCACAACATTTCACAAATAGTTTTATAAAGTCCACAGAGTCAGTGTATCTGCTTCCTGAATGTAGCTGTTCTATCTCTGGACCCCGATTTCTCTATCAAAGAAACTTAAATCCTGTCCCTGAACTTCTTAAACATGGATGCCTTCTTGGAACTCTGATAATGATCTGCCCCAGTAGGATTGGAAAATATACTTGGACTCTAAGCTTGAGCTTTCATATAAAAGTATGGACATTCAAACTACTGTTTCACTGGTTCCTACAGAATCTCAAACATTTTTACATAATTGCCTCATTTAATTTTCACAGTCATTCTAAGAACCATGTCTGCTTTGCATTAAAAATAAAAAAAAAGGTCTTTTTGAATTCCATTTCCAAGTCTTCTGTAATCAACATCTCAGTTTACCATTCAACAAAATTCAAATACCACCCCCAAAGTCTTCCTTACTGTGCTATGAAAATAATCCATTTTCACTTTAGATAACTACCATTTGCTATACAAATTATAAGGAACAATATCTTCCCTGTTTGATTAGATGGGCTGTTAGCAATTACCCCCTCTGAACTAACCTGAAACATTTGTAGGCACCTGTTGTTGCTGTTAAGTGCCATTGAATCAGTTCCAACTCATAGCAACCCTGGATAAGATTTCAGAGGAGTGACTGGTGGATGTGAATTGCTGACTTTGCAGTTAGCAAACCAGTACTTAACCCTACAGCATTACACCAGGATTCCTTGTTAATTCACTATGTACTGCATCTTTAGCTTTCTTAGTCCTAAAAGAGAAAGCCCCTAACACCTACCAACATCCTAATGGGAGACAAAGGAGAGTGAACTCAACATAGCATCTCTAGCCTTGGATCCTCTGCATCAGGTACGACTAATTGCTATAAGTTGTGTGCCATCCATTCAGGAAATCAGTAATCTAAAACTTTCACTTACGTATTGAAATGCTCAGTGAAGATCAAGTTGGTGGAGGTGCCAGTGATCGTGGTCAGGCCACCAATTGTAGAAGAGTAAGCAATACACAAGCACATAAGCTTACACATCATGTGGTCTCTCTTTGTTCTATATTTGGTTCTTGTAACTGAGACCTGTTATACACAAAAATGGACTATTAGAACAGTTGTATTTCTAGTCATAGCAAACCAGAATAGCATTTATTTATATTTTCAATATTTCTATTTAGGAAATCTCACATTAAACTGATTTAATGAATATTGATCTACCAGCCCTCCAAACAGCTGTCTCCCACCCAGACTTCTCTTTCTGCACCCATATACCCAATTGCCTATTCAACATAACTTTAGTATCTTAAATACAACTCCAACTCAAAAATGTTGAAAACGAAACTTCTATATCCTTCCTTAAACCTCTTCATTATCACCTATACAATTTAATGGCATCACCCTCACCACAATGACAAACATCTCTAGTGGACTTTTTGTTGGTGTTAAGTGCCACAGAGTTGGTTCCAACTCATAGCAACCATGTATATAGGGTTTCCAAGGATCAGCTGGTGGGTTTGAACTGTCAACCTTTTGGTTAGCAGTCCAATGCTTATCCTACAGTGCCTCACCAAGATTCCAAGGCCTTAGTATGTAAAAAACAACACTCTTCACTCCTATTTATTAAAATCATATAAAAACTTCAAGTTTACTTAATTCTTGCAACACAATGATGTTGGTACTATTATTATCAGCATTTGGCACTTGAAAATATAATATTGTTGTTGTTAAGTGCCGTCGAGTCGGTTTCGACCCATAGAGACCCTGAATAGGGTTTCTGAGGCTTTAAATCTTTACGGGAGCAGATCGCCTCATCTTTCTCCCGCTGAGCAGCTGGTAGTTTCGAACGCTGACCTTCCGGTTCGCAGCCCGATTCGTAACCACTACCCTACCAGAGCTCCTTTGAAAATACAATATACAAAGTGGTTAAAAGAACTGCCCAAGATCATGGAGCAGGTTTGGATTCTGAAACCATGTATTCTTAAGAGTCCTGGTGTGGCGCTGAGGGTTAATGCGCTGTACTTGAAGTTCGGTGGTTCAGGCTCACCAGCCACTCCTTGGAAACCCTATACAGGGTTGCTATGGGTCAGAACTGACTCAACGGCACTTAAGAACAACAACATTCATTAAGAGGTCACACTCTTAGTTACTATAGTATCTTACTTGTCCTCTTTGAAAAAATTTCTTCCTTATCCACCGAATCTTGTCAGTTTGTTTCATTAAATATGACTGTACTCTCTTCCATCTCTGCTGAAGCTGTTTTAATTTAAGTTCACATTATCTCTGTCCTGAGTTACTGTAATCATCTCTTTATAGCTTGCTCAAGTCTTGCCTCTTTTAGATATATTCTACATGCTGAAGGCTTCTTAGGCAATCCAGAAGTATTTAAAAATGTAAGGAGACTTGACAGCACTGTAAGATGAGCACTTGACTTCTAGTCACAAGGTAAGCAGTTCAAACCCACCAGACATTGCTCAGGAGAAAGATGACATGTTCTGCTCCCATAAAGACTCCACGGCACGTAACTACCGCCACCAAAGACTTATAGCCTCAGACACGCTATACAGGAACGCTATCTCACTGTGAGATGGAACTGACTTGACAAAGCAGAACAACAGCAACATTGAATTATGTACATACAGAAAAGCTATTCTATTTCGTTCAAATAGATAAGCCAGCTGTCTGACTCTGGTGCCAAGAGATCTTGTTGAGAAAGCACGATAAGAAAAAAAAATTACTACTCACTAATGTCACTGTAAACGAGCTCTGGTAGCGTAGTGGTTACTAATCGGGCTGCGAACCACAAGGTCAACAGTTCGAAACTACCAGCTGTTCCGCGGGAGAAAGATGAGGCTGTCTGCTCCCGTAAAGATTTATAGCCTCGGGAACCTTGTTCAGGGTCGCTATGGGTCCGAACCGACTCAATGGCACTTAACAACAACAACAACAACAAAAGTCACTGTGGAGACTGGTAGGGTGCTGCAGGATAACGCACGGGACCCCAAGGTTGGTTTGAACCACAAGTTTGGTGGTCCAAACCCACCAGCCGCTCCTTGGAAACTCTATACAGGGTTTTTATGAGTCAGAACCGACTTGACAACACATAACAAAAACAAAGTCACCATGGATGTGACAGTGACATTTAGCATGGCAGAGGTAAGGCACATTGGACTGTAATTTATCTTTTACTTCCTAGTTCACTTAAAGGCCACCCTGTAGGGGTATCTACTCAGCATATAAAGTAGTTTACAAATGTCTCCTTTGGTTTATATTTTCCACATAGAAATCATTTGTATAGTTTTATATGTTGTTGTTGCTAAGTGCCATAAAGTCAGTTCTGACTCATAGTGACCCTGTGTAGAGTTTTCAAGGAGTGGTTGGTGAGCTTGAACCACGTACTTTGTAGTTAGCAGTCCAGTGCTTATCTTACAATATCAAACCAGAATTCAATTTTTTCATATATGTGTATGCTACGATTTTATTGAAAATGTAAAATGTTAGTGTATAGAGATAAACTGGCAAAATATATTGAAAAAGGTGTGATGATTTTGCTTAATGAATTATTCTCTATGGTGTCTATTGAAGACACTTTCTAACATAAACCAGAAAGTGATGTGTAATTTAGATATGTAATTTGGGTGTGATTAAATTAATGGTAAGAAAGGAAACTTAAAATCATGATGGGCGTATAATTTCTTACTAAAGCATTTAAACTTTCAAAAATAAAGGAATAGATTCCATATAAAAATACAACTGAAAATACATAGCTAGATATGAACAATGATTGAAATGCATTGTCCAATATAAAACAACTAAAATTAAAAAATTATTAATATATTTACCTTGCTTTGTCCCTCATGGATTATCCAGACATTTTTAATGCATATTTTAATACTACTACACATAGATTGATGTTTATGTAATTATCACAGATGATTTATAAAGACATTAAAATTCAAGGTAAATGTAATTACTGAATATTTAGTCAAACATTCAGTAGCAGAATCCTGATCAAAAAGGGGAAATGCAGAATAGAATTTCAAACTCTCTTGAAATCCAGGTTTCTGGAGCCATGGAGGTTGAATGAACCCCCCTAACTACTGGTCTGAGAGAATCTTTAAGCCTTAAACCAAAAATATCCTGTTCGCAAAACCAAACAATAGGTTAGCTAAACCACTAGAGGATGTCTGTCTTGAGCATTGAGCTATTTTAGGATGGCACTGTGGGTTGATGTGCTGGACTGCAAGGTTGTTTTGAACCACAATATCAGTGGTTCAAGTTTACCAGCCACTCCTCAGAAACTCTATACAGGGTCACTATGAGTCAGAACTGACTCAAGGGCACTTAACAATAACAACATGTGAGATCAAAATGATTGTAGTAATTACAAAAGTAGATAGGGACCTTGGGGGACAGTGAGTTTATGTTAACCGAGGAAGGAACAACTCAGCGCAGTGAGTTTATGTTAATGGGGGAAGGCAACTTGAAGAAACTAGGGAGTAAACTAGCTTTTACTTTTCAGTAAAACTTTTCAGAGAAAACTTTCTTGTGGTAGGAGAACAAAAGACATTGTTATGATGAAAAAGTATTTGTAGTATATTAGATGAAAAGAGATGTGAAATTAAATATAGAGTTATATAATCTTTAAATATATAATATACATAGAAAGTCCTAAAAATAAGGCAGAAATGAAATACATCAAAATACTAACAATGGCTATCTCTCAGTCATGGGATTATTTGAGGGGCTTCAAAAAGTTCATGCACAAAATTAATTGTTCCTCAATTTCATTTGTCCACAAAGTTTTCAAAGCCCCATTGTAGGTGATTTTGCTTCCTTCTTGATACTTTTTATTTATAATAATAATTTTTTTTCATATAGGAGAATCAGACTATTGCAGAAGACAGGTATTAACAAATTATCTTGTGTAAAGTCACATTTTTCGTAAGAGTCAAATGAGTGTCAAGTATAACATAACTGACCATTGCAGAGTAGAGAAGGAATGAGTGTGAGATCGCTCTCAATGATCTTCTCCTTGACCATCGTGCTTTCAGCACACATCCATTTTTTCCTTCTGGGAGTTTCTCACTTATAGAGCTAAGACTACCTTTAATTACAGTTCATATTGCCTTTACTCTCACAATTCTAGCCAACTGTGTTTTTAATGAATCCTAATTCTTTCAAAAATGAGTTATTCCAACAATTCTTTCAAAAACGAGTTCTTTCAAGTTATTCTAAGTTTTTATATGTATGCTTCTACATCATACAAATAAATTTAAATTTGCCTGATGAGAACATGACCAAATGTAGCATCCTATGACCAACAGGGTGATAATATCACAGGATGTTTGTTGCATTTGGTCATGTCCTAGTCAGAAATTCTTTCATTTATTTGAACGATGTATAAGTATACATACAAATACTATCACCCTGGTGGTGCTAAATTGACATTTCAGAACAGAAATCCCATAGCTCACTATTGCCACCTCGTGGCAGTGATTGAAGATTTCAGGGGCAAGTTACAAATTTCCAAGTCTGGATGGTAAAAATGCAAATATGAATTAGCACGGCTAACCTGGTGAATAATGAAAGTGCCATTGGCTGCCAAAAGAACCAATATATCCATTTTGGAAGAAGTGCAGCCAAAGTGCTCCATGGAGGCCAAGACGGCCAAACTTCGTCTCTCATACTTCAGGCATATTGTCAGGAGGGACCAGTTGCTGGAGAAGGATATCATGTTTGGTTAAGGTGGAGGGTCAGAGAAAAAGAGGAAGACCCCCAACAAGATGGTTTGGCCAAGTGGCAGCATAGATGGACTCAAGCGGGGCAACAATAGTGAGGTTGGCCCAGGATCGGGCAGTGTTTCGTTCTACTGTGCTTAGGGTCACTATGAGTCAGTACTGACTCGATGGCACCTAACAACAACAACAACAATGATCTGGTGGTCTCCAGAGGGATATACAAGATAAACATTGAGATTGATGGGTTATGAAAGATTAGGGTTTATTTTTATATTTAAATAATTATGCAAGGCTAAATGCAAAAATTAATAGTTCTGGCCAACTACATTATACTTGCCAAAGATA